CTCTTACTCTTCAGTCAGTTGTACATCAAAACTGTAAGTCAGGCTACTTCACTCTTTTATTGACATGACTTGGAAGCCTGTCTTCGACAAGCTCTTCCTGGCTTCATAATTTTACTTGCAGCCTTCATCTTCCCCATGCTTTATAATTAACTCAGAACTTTTCCAAGCCCTAGATTTCTGCACTAACCTGACCTCCACGCTTGTGCTGCTCTTGACTTTGAACTACTTTGTTCTTCTTGACTTCAGGTCTCAGCTGGATATTTCTTTTTATAGACACCGTCTGCCAGTGCTCTACTTTGGTTTAGGCCCCCCTCTCTGCATTCATGGTGCCTCAGCTTCCATCAGCATTTATCTCCTGGGGATTTATCTGTATCCCTCACTGCACTGTATCTTGACCAGGATCAAAACAACTATGTTTGGTTTGGGGGGAGGGAGTTGTTTTGTTTTTGTTTTTTAAAAAAGAAATACATACTCAATGTAGATACCAGATTCCATCAACAAACATTCCATATCCAGAAGTTCAGTAAAACTAAGCAGAGAAAAGGGCATTTCTGTTGGAAGCAGATACAGAGGAGCATCTTTCAATCTCCCAGATTATCTAGTTATATTATGACACAATTGAAGAGGCCATCCCAAATGGTACACAAATTCATGTCTTTATTTTTAAAAAATTTCAACAGTATTTTACAATGAACAAGAAACGAACTGGACTTAGTTGTAGACCATTGCCTAGCATGTGCAAGACTGAGGGTTCAGTCCTCAGCATCTCCAAAAGGAAAAGAAACAATTATCAAAATCAGTAAGTATCTATACCTAAAACCATTTTCTGCACCAAAACCGAGCCTTAAAAACCTTAGCATGTTAACCTTTTCGAAACACAGAAGGCCAACCCCTGACCTCTGCCCTTTTAACTTCCCTCACTCTGCATTCCTACCCTTCACAGAGGTGCTTTTTTTTTTTTTTTTTTTTTTTGGTTTTTTTGAGACAGGGTTTCTCTGTGTAGCCCTGGCTGTCCTGGAACTCACTCTGTAGAACAGGCTAGCCTCGAACTCTCGAACTCAGAGATCCGCCTGCCTCTGCCTCCCAAGTGCTGGGATTAAAGGCATGCGCCACTACCGCCCGGTCACAGATGTGCTTTCAAGTCAGTTATTAGGTAAGTGTTCCTAACGAAAAACAAACTTTCCTAGGAAGCAAGTTCTATGCATAACTAGTACTAACTGCATATTATTTCTGTGAGAAGTCAAAATCAAAACTTTTACAAGTTGTTCCCCAAATGTTTTCCAAAACAAAAGCTAATTCTGAAGACGCTAGTTGTGAAAAAATAGACTTGCACTTTCTTTCATAAATATAAGGTTCATTCCAAGATAAGGTAAATGAGGAGATACATAATACTGGCAAACTGTAAAAGGAAGTCTTTAAGCCATTCTTTTAGAAATTTTAGGGGTCACAGGTAGGGGTGGTGGAAAGAGTGAGGTATAAAATAAGACATGAGATTCCATAGTCTCTCAATGAGTGCACTGAATGCCCTCACAGTTTAATTTAAATGCTGACATTTTACAATAATTTGAAAGAACCGAAATTTCTCTCAGGTGAAAATAAAATACCATATATAAATAGCTAGCAAGCTTCAAAATAGAATTATCTATTTTGTTGAAAGCTCCCTATCAGGCAAAATCAAGAGTTTTCATATAAGCATATGCATGTATGTATACATGTGTGTATACATATACATATAAATATGTGTATATATGGTATGCATATACATACAAAAATGTTCCTGCAGAGGACATCCACTCCTGGATCCTGATGCCATTCACACATGGGCTAGTGCTGCACGTGGCAAAATGGAAAGGTGTCCAAGTTAAAACAAAAGGTTGCAAAAGTCTGCATTTTCAAAAGGCAGAACCATGAAAGGCATGCACAGATATGTAGACAGACATAATAGAAAGCATTCCTGAAAACTATAAAGAATTCAAGGACCAGTAAGTAGTCCCCTAAAGTGTGAAAATCAAATTTCAGAGGGAAACATTCTGTGTTTAACTTATACCCTGTGTACATTGCACAACTGTAAAAAAAAAATCCTAAGCATGTTATTTAGAACATTTTAGACTTCTAAGTCCTTAAAACTGTGGCTCTATTCCCCACATTCTAGGAAGACTAAGTAACATTAGTTTACAACCTTTGCTGTCTCAAGTGTTCTAATCACAAGGCTACTTGTTTAAGATTGTGACTCAGACAACAAGTGGTCAAGACTTTGGAGACAAACCAACCTAAAATATTAAGCCAATGGGCCTGGCTATCGGCAATTAAAATGTTCTGTCTAGGATTTTTTTTCCTTTTTATAAAATTCTGAATCAAAACATTCTGTTTTCATTAACCTCCACAGATCTAGGTACTGGACAAGCACAGACTTCAATTCAAAACAATGGATTCCTTCATCTTTTCTTCAGAGATAGCTGTGAAACACCCATCAGCATAGTCCTGGTTATACTCACATCTTCATTTGTTCAAACACAACCACACGAAAAAGTAAAAACACTGCTAGGATACACAAAGTTCAACTAATTGATAAATTCAATACAATAAGCTAATTTATACAAACTTTTAATTACCCTTTAAAAAAAGCAAATTTTGAAACTATAGGGGGAATAGACTACATAAAGGTAAGCTGTCTCATACAATGAGCCACTGTCAACCTGAGGTGCCAAGCTGCTCCATCTCACCCCACTACTCTACAGGTTAATAAGACTCTCAGTGGACTAGGTGGGTATGGCAGCAGAGGCAGACGATTTATCTGAGTTTAAGGCCAGTCTAGCCTACAGAGTGAGTTCCAGGACACCCAGAGCTATGTAGAGATCCTGTCATTTTAAAAAAGCAAATAAAAGACTCTACAGAGCAAACTGTACTTATTCCATCAAAGTATAAAAGAATTCATGTTAAATGACTTAAGTATTTTTGAGAATATAGGAAGTAAGTAGCTTGGTAAAGAGACAAGTAAAGAGACAAGGTCTACTCACAGATAAATATGAAAGCACAATTCAATCCAACAGTACTTTCTCCCAAGAATAAATACTGTTACTAGCTTACCTGTTCTATGCCTTGTAGATTCCAATACATGAGCTGATAGAAGAAAACCACTTAGGGTGTAAAAAACACCACACCCACACCATCACCATTAGTACTTTAAAATATTTAACAATGCTTTCAACAGGAATATCACCAAAGGAAACAACCCCTTAAGTTCAGAAGGAGCAAGGTTTCCCTAGACAGAGGTAAATAGATCAGGAAGACACAAACTTAAAGTGCTGTGTTCTCAAAATGTTATCTGGGGACCCTGAATACCTACACCAGGTCTAGCTGCTTTTCTACTAATTCTAAGGTGGTTTGTGTCTTTCTCACCATCTGGATTTCACAAGTGCATAGCACAGTTTCCAGTGCCTCCCTGCTATGTTACATGGAGAGTCTGAATGCAAGTAGTACAACTATCTTCCATTTCTGTTAAGTCTGACACAAAAAAGGTGGGCAAAACATAAATGATGTTTGAAAATAATGTTTCATTTTTGAAAAGTTATTTTACATCAAATATCTATGTTAACAAGTAATAAAACTATTACAGTTATATCTAAAAGGTATGTTTTAGAAATCACTCTACTTATTTGTAATATACTAACCTATGAAAGAGTCAAGTTTCGTAAACAAAAGCTCTTGGTAGGATCATCAACAGTCATAAAAACTAAGACTGCAGAACAGCATGTTTCATAAATGCTGGCACAGTGACTGTAAGCAGCCAGTCACTCTATCGACTTTGCAACTGATAGAACTGATTTGTTCTTTGATACAGAACAAATGATTTTATGGAAGATGACAACCTAACCTCTATTTAAAAAAAAAAGTCTAAAATAAAACATTCCTTAAGTCATAAAAACAAGATCAAGATGTTTTTAAATTTATCAACCCAGAACTTCATTTGTAATCAGAGACAGAACAGGAAGCGTGTTGTGAGCAATGAGCCTGCAGTGTGAAGACCCTCAGCCACCACTCTGAGCACTATCCCTCCAATGCACGACACAGTGCTGAAAACTAGGAGCAGCCCCAAATTTAAGCCTTAAAAGACGGGGATTTTTAAAAGACAAAAGCATGCGAAAACCCCCTTTAACACTGGAACTATTCTGAACCTAAGTACTTGTATTTTTATTATAGGCACTCAATGAAAGTCAAACATTTAATTATACATCTCAAGATCTACTAGAAAAAATAGTCTTTAAAGTTATTTTGATAACAACTGTTTAATTTACTTAATAGATGGAAAGCCTGGTAGGTTATTTGGGTAATGGCCTATAATTATATAGTTTAACTTATTCATATGAATTGATTTGGATCTAACAATCTCAAACAAAAGTTTAAAGACATTTATGTTTTCCCTCCATGAAAACAGATGAGATCCCCAAAATGTACAAAGAGTTCAAGACTATGCCCAAAACGCAGGTGAGCCCGAGCAACACTAACTGGATTCTCAGTGGCAGGCTGTTCAGAGGGGACTACGCCTCAGGCACATCACTTGTCAAGTACATATATATAAAGCACAACTTCCCGATAAGGAGGGCACCTGACTGCAGTGCTTCAAGTAAACAGCGAGACTTTAGAGTATGATGATAATAGCCATCACTGGAAAAATACATCCAATATAAATAAAACGTGAGAAAAGTCATGCTTGTATCACTTAAAACCAATGCTTTAAAAATTTTTAAGTTACTTTCTACCAGGCACTGCATACTGTGTACACAATTTCAGCTTTTTTGATAGCACAGAGTCACTCTCTCTTCACTGGGCTGGTTGTCCCTATGGAGCCTTTGGCAGTTCATGTTTTCCATCCTTGTTCTGGACCCCTTCCTTTCATCAACACTAATATGCTATGGACCAATAAATCAAATTGTCAAACTATTAAACACTCACATTCAAAAAACACATATACTCTACATACAGAATTCATAACTTAGGGGTATTGTTCAAAGATTTTTTTAATCATTTCAATTCTTAGTTGTATTTGGTTTTGATGAAAGGGCCAGATTATCGAGGGATGAATGAGGCATTACTACATATAAATATTTAAACAGTTCATTTGAATATTAACAAAAAGATAAACTAAAATTAGTATTGCTACCTTTTTACACAAGTTATTTCATCACTTTAAGGTAACACTCGGTTCCTTTTTCTTTATCCCCAAAACAAACACAAACAAATGTTTGATAGATAGTATCAGTCTGTCCAGAAAACGAGGGGGGAAACCTCAGGTGCAACCATGTCACAGTCAATGCATGTCTGCTTCCAATACATTCAAAGACAATGAAAACAGAGGGGAAAAAATAGGTAAAGTAGGCCTTTTGCAGTCTGAGAATTCAAGATCTTTAAAAAATATTTGTAAATACACATACATGCAAATTCTCCATATTTACAAATTTCACAAAATTAATAAGTTGCAGAGAAATTAGGAGTAGCATGGTGAATCCGACAAGCTACATTTAAATGCTTTTCCACTGTCACATTCCTGAATATAGCAGTCCTAGCAGTTTTAATAAATTTCCTACATGGCCTTTTAAAAAAAAGTTAGTCACTAGAAGTCTTTAAGAGTTCAAGATGTTCTCAACTCACTACTCATTATTTAAGGCCACTTTGGTAAAGGCATTGCAGCAAGAACACAAAAACAATAGCATATTTTCTAATATTTATTTTGTTCACCTGCAAACTGTAGCAAAACATGATCAGCTTTATCCGCAGACAGGTGTCCTCCACATCTGTAAAGAACTTAGCCATGTGTGAATAGAAGAGCTCTTTAGAAGGAAGCATTCAAGAATGAATAAAACCTTCCGATTTAAATTTTCCAGAAGCAATGCTTCAAATGATTTTAATCATTCATTCCAAGCTATATGACAGCACCTTAAAAGTCGCTGATCTATTTCCCCAGTAACATTTCTCACATAACAATGTGTTAAAGTTACAAATACTGATATGCACAAATAGCTAATTTCTAAGAAAAATATGTACAGTACTGCAGCATAATGAATGTAGGATCTGCAATAACTTAACATTAGCCAATTTTTAACTTACATGATGCCGCTACCTTTTCCTGCCAATTCACAAGTGAAAAGCTGTTGCTGAGCCCTCTGTTTTGCACATATTACCTGGTGTTTAATACACAATGCAGGCATTGTAAAGACTTCTCTCATGTTTAAAGCTAAGATCAGTGAAACAAGACAACAGTGCAAGAGGCGAAGAGATGTAATATGATCACATAAAAGTTCTTTCCAGTACAGTGTCTATATAAGGCTATAAGAAAGGATTGGTTGATGAGCTTCCTGTTGGAAATTGTCCTGTTGGTGCACCAGTCTGTTGGAGAGAAACACAAGAACAAAATAAACAAATAGAAATTATGTCTAAAATAAGGAAATGAGAGCATTGAAGTCTTAATTCTAACATCAGCATTTTATTAAAAATTTGTTGACAACATTTATTAACCATTGCTGTCAACAAACCATCAATCTCCGACTACTTGTTACAGACTATATATATGTGCCTTTCACACACACACACACACACACACACACACACACCATCTCAGACTACTTGTTATAGACTGTATATATATGCCTTTCACACACATGCACAGCATCTCCGACTACTTGTTATGTTATATAATATATATATATATGTGCCTTTCACACACATGCACAGCATCTCTGACTACTTGTTACAGACTATATATATGTGCCTTTCTTTTTTTCTTTTTTTTTTCTTTTTTTCGAGACAGGGTTTCTCTGTGTGTAGTCCTGGCTGTCCTGGAACTCACTCTGTAGACCAGGCTAGCCTCGAACTCTCGAACTCAGAGATCCACCTGCCTCTGCCTCCCAAGTGCTGGGATTAAAGGCGTGCGCCACCACCGCCCGGCCTATATGTGCCTTTCATACAAACACACAGTGTGAATCCTGCCAAAAGGTGAGCCTAGCACTTAAAAGAAGAACCTGTCAGCTCAAATAAAAAATTCCATTCTTGTGATTCCTTTTCCCTAAATCTAGCAGTTTCTCCTCAAGTATAATTTGACAGCAGTGCATGCATTTCATGATGAAACAGCTAATCTGCTGTTAGCACTCTGATTTGCAACTACGTCTAAAAGGTCTTGTAAGGGCCTGCATGCTCACAGAAGAGAACAGAAGGTTGTGTGCAGACACAGTCACATTACAGCTACACTCTGGTTTCTCTAGTTTAAAAATAAGACAAAACTCATTTTTTAAACGTTATAAAATTTACTCACCATAAAAGGATTACTAGACACTCCAGCAGCTGCTACCTGACCAAAAGGTGTTACCACTGGTTTTGTTTGTCCAAATGTGGCGAAACCTGCACCTTGTTTTTTGTTTTTTCAGAGTGGGGGG